GACAGAGTCATGTTACTTACTTAACATCGTAAGAATAGTTATATCGGTATGCTTATAATAAATTAAGTGTAAGCCATCTACTTGTTTTGTGACTACATAATACCACTGAAAAAACATTACCTTTTATAAATAGGAGTTTATGACCTAACAGACGTCAACAACAGCAGTAAAATAAGTAGAAATAAGACCAAGAATCTACTATAAAAATTAAATGTAAATATGCTCTTTTGCTTCATAGATATGGGGAGGGAACGAGGGAGGCAAAGTTTGAATTTTCCCACTAGTTTTATCCTGAACACATTTCGTAATACGAGTAAGAGATGAATAAACGCCTTTGCCCTCATAATAAGTATTTCTACAAGAACATAAAATCAGGAATATTATTTTTAATCAACTTGAGATAATGGTAACAAAATAGTGAATTTTAAACAACAACAATAGCAATATGGTCATTAGAAATAGGAAAGAAATAACGAATATATCCCTTGCAAAAGCGTGCTTATCATGATGCATGTTAACTGGGGTTATGAATAGCTAGATAACCTTTACTATTACATTGACGACAATGGTAATTTGCTTCATTCTATGGGCCCATATTACCTTATGATACGAATCGTAATGGTTACTCACTTTGATACGATTCAGTTCCCCTTGACAATTGCTACAGGCGCTTTATCATGTAAACCGATAATTAAAAAATACTCTACTGAGTGTCTTTCTTTCAAACGACTTTTAGAGTTACACTTCAAAGTTGACTTACAAACAAGAAGACATTAAGGTTGAATTTATGAATGCTGTATTTATTTCCTAACAATAGTCCCCGAAATTGTCCTGCAGAAAAAGTGTGCTTTTGTGAAAAACTGTATCAGTATCCTTTTTTTACAAGAATTCGTAATTAAAAGCTGATTAAAATATGGGTGTGTAGAGCAAGTGACATATCTGACCTGATCACTTCATAAGGAATCGATTGACTTATGGTTGGTTTTGTCACAGAACAATATTAACTGAAGGAAACACTACATACCAAAGGGAAATGAAGGCTGTTGTTCACCATCATCCACTAGTGATTTACTATTTAAAAGGCAAGTGTTCCACGATCTAAACAGTCTATCAATAGTCACTAAGATAGGATGTCCAGTCTTGGTGCAACTTAACAATCAACTTTAATTTTAATAACTACTTGATGGATTCCGCCAAGTTTTAATTTTCCTACATTCTCAAGGTTGTGTGTGTGTGTGTGTGTGAACAGATAGTTTAGTTGAATTTTAGGTCTTTAGTTGCCCTATACAGAAAATCGCTGGCCATGGGATTTCATCTAAATATCTCAGTGTTGATGAATCTGTTTTGGTGGCTAACATCCTTCTCCTTGTGTACTCACAAAACCGTCATTGCTCTCAGTTGAAAAAAACTGAAACCAAAAATGAAAAGTTTACGTTTTCAGGTCATTAGGTTCGTGGGGAAATGAATCCTTAAACTAAGTTTTTTTCGAGGGAGTGTAATCTACTTTATCTATTGATATGACCATGAATGCTGATTTGGAAAAAAAAGATAATGAACCAGCAGAGAAGCAAGTCACTTTGGTTATCATTTACCCCATAAATCTTAACATATTGCCAAATAGTCTACTTTAATACCATATCACTCATATTTTAGGACACCACATAGAAAGCGTAAACTAAACAAAATTGCATCATATTAATTATTGTGATATAAGTGTCTTGCACTAAACATTATTTTAATAACAAGAAAATGAATGTAATACTACTCCTCATCTCTATGCATCCTTCCTAGTCTAATCCTTTTCCCGAAAAATTAATTTTCCACTTTTTCAAAGAAGTATTATGAATCTGTTTCATTTGAAGGTAGGCATACATTTATAGATATTTCCGCAAGGGGAAAATACTGATGTATTTCCTTACAATCTTAATCACAAAGTTATTTTGATGTATGACCAATAGTTGCATACCATGTAAACTGACATTTAACATCTGCTTAAGCTTTTTCTCCCTGAATCATTTGATTAATGAGAAGTCTAATAAATTCACAAAGCGCATATCTTATGCTTCTTCAATGAGCACATTGTATATCTCAAAAGTGTAAAACAGTCGACTGTGAAAGATAAAAGCACCAGATAGTCTAGTACACACAAAGTTTTTCTTATCAACTACACTAATATCCATAATTCCAGGTTCTGTAGAAGTCTTTTCGCATTAAAATGTCATTGTGCAGACTGCGTACTTCCTATTCACTAGTTCAGTATTTTGTGGAAAGTCACTTAGTTTGAAGAATAGACATCTTTCGGCAAAAATTATTTTTTAAAAAGGCTAAAGGAAATGAACGTTCTTCTATTAAATCAGTGGATGCCTTATTTTAATGAGTACATCATCTTTTAGTCAGTAAGTTAAAACTCATTAATCTACATAATGTAAATTCCAATACCTATTGACACATTACAGCCGAAATCCAGTGTCCCATGTGACCATCAGCTGATATCACAGATCTTTTTTTCATTGAAGTGAAATCAATTACATTTCTAGTCAAACTATTGCGTAAAATTTAAAAATGTTTTCCATAAAGCATGAATTATGACATTCGTCTACCACATATTATGTATGAATACTGCGTCAACAAAAATGCACAGAAATCGTTGGTGAAGAATATTTCAGAATTTGTGTTTAATTAACTCTTCACCGACAATGTTCTATTGGTAGGCATCTTATCGCAACTTATCTGGAACCCCAAAAGATCATTTACCTAATGATGACAGTTATCTAATATGAACACCGCTAAGTGATTAAAACCCTCAGAGATTGAAATAAAGTACACATTCGACCGTCAGTCAGTGAAATACTTGATGCTTTCTACAACGGCTCATCTTCTGGTTCGAATACTATCCTAAGCCAGTTTATTGTTCTGGTACCAGTCACTATCGCATAACAGCAAACCTATGTTAAAATGTTTTCACCAGATAACATTTCTCGAAGAAATGTAAACTAAGTTTATTACGGTAAGAACTAATAAATCTCTTAAAATGTAGCTAATAAACCTTGAGAATTAATTAAAAAGTGATTTCATTAAGCAGTATTTAAGAGGGCCATAGTTTCAAGAAAATGATACTTCATTATAAAGGTTTTTGTATTTCCCAATGAATGAAAAGCAAAACGATATTGTTTTTACTGACGTTTTGCTATTTAATGTTAATAGCTTTATCAAAGTATTTTTATAAAATGATATTTCATTTTTCACCAAAATTTGTTTTACACTTCAAATGGATAGCTTTCCGCTTTAAAATACAGACACGTTATAATGAAGACATAAATGCCTTCCGTATCTACTGGGACTATCACATCATATACTGAGCAAAAGCGACCACAATGTCTCACAGATATCAAGGATGCTGTAGTAAGGAAATTTATTCAAGACAATAATCTTCGAAAAAGACTTATTTCTTCACGCTTACATTCACTTGACTTAATGACATATATTTTACACAATAAAAACAAGAATTAATCCTAATATAAATTTGGTTATAGAGAATTATTTGCATAAATAAAGCCTAAGTGTTGGCTACTACCCTTTAAAAGGAGTATACGCTAGTATATTGAAGAAAGATTAAGAAGTTTCTCCCAAATCAATGATTTATTCATTCAACCATAAAAATTAAGTATGTTGAAATTGAACCCAAGGAATTAAGATAAATTTACGTATGTTTTTATGCGACACATCGCAACAGGTTAAACTCCTGCTTTAAAAATACGAATCAAACATCATGGGAAGGGGGATTTTTAATACAATCGGTTGTTTTATACAAATCGTAGGATGACGTAATTTTCGAATTATATACAGAAAATCACCTTTGTATAAAACTATTGATAGTTGAAATGAATATGAATGTTGCCACTAGATTAACACGAATTGTTTCTTTCTTTTAGGCTGTAAATTCTCCTATGAAACTTGTTGGCGTATTGTTTAATTTCTTTTCTACCTGAGATACAAAATTCATTTATGTGATTCGGACTTCTTTATCCTCCTGTTTACAAGTTTTCGTCAAAATGCTAGTAAAAGTTTTCTATTTGCGTCAAAAAGTTTATGGTTCTATGTCACTTTTTTGTCGTTTTACGTGAAATATATTAGTTTACCTAATTAATTTAGCTTCCTTACTGACAGCATATATATATATATATATATCAGTAGTAATTAATTCTTCACCAATCATCATTTTATTGATTATTTTGTTCCTTTGCTTTCACAGTGGTACACAGGGCTTCAAAAGGAAGCTTTGAAGTTTCAGTAGCAGTGGGCTTTTTTACGGGGCGGGGTCACTAGCTTTGCTCTCAACCTTCCCCCTTTGCCTGGCATACTACCGGCCAGACGAAGCAAAAGAGTATGCCGACCGGGGATCGAACCCCGGGCCAGTTGAGTAGTTGGCCAGTATACCACTATGGAATCACCGACGCACATTCACATGGTGATACACCCATTGACCGGGCATTGGTTTTCAGAACAAAAAAGACCTATCTCTTTCCTCTTGCAAGACGAGATCACCATACAGTATCATCCTGTGGCGCAACCAATCGAGAGGCCTTTCCCTAGGTGGACTAATCAAGATAGAGTGAAAAAATCACGAAATCTATGAACTGTTGAGAGCAATGAAGATATCTTTCCACGATGCTTGTTAGATCAAATTAGGAAGTAGAATGCGTCGTCTCTCAATTTAACTGGTGGTGAAATACCTAAAAAGCTTAATTTCTTTGAGAACATCACACTACAAAAGACCTGTTATAAGGAAATCAAGTTATACACTGAATATTACTGGAATATTAGTTCGAAAATAAAATGTCCATTTCAACAGGTGCTCAACTGGGACATTATTCGATTATAAGAGAAATTCCTCCATACAAAAGGAAGCTACGCTGATTCAACATTATAAATTTGTTCAGTGTGAAATTCTTTGAGAAGGAACAACAAATGAAAACATGCAGAGTATGAATAATTCTTACCATGAAAGTAACACTTAATGCGAAGATAAGAAACTGCCAGTCGCAGAATTGATAATTTATCCAACTTAACGATAACATTCTGTTCAAATGGTAATAAACTAGCCAAGTGTTCCAGTTCCGAATTCAAGCGTTCTCGATGTCGTTTGCTTGGATTCGACTTGACGTTCTGCTCGGGTGGGATTCCACCTGAACATGTTGGTTTATTTCTAGAATAAGGGCAAATATTTAACAAGTATGTTGTAGAAGGTGAAAAGCTATGGGTTTAATTGAAACCATTTTTTAAAACTTCTGATAATAATTTGCAGTAAAATATAAAACAGGTGTGAAAACCGATAAACACGCTAAATTATAATCAAACACCGAGAAATACTTCTCACAGAAGTTAATATTTCCTACCTTAGAGATGAGAGGAATTTATTTCAATTATTTTTCAAGACGTTTCAATTAAATCTTCTAGGAGAACTTGGTTGTGTGCCCCGCCAGAGTATATTCTCGGTAGCTTTCGGCAACAGGATACGTTAATTCTTGACTCCACCAGTAGTGAGCAAAATAACAACCATATTTTATAAAATATGAATATACAGCATATAAATATTGCAGTTCTTATATTTACAGTGATATTAGAATTCAACGTCCTGAGCTGGAAAGTTGATGATGATGATGTTGTCATTTTATGCTATCCAAGAATACAATAGTTATAGTAATGATTTTATCTTTAAAAAATTTGATTTTATGCTCATATGACATCCATATGTCGCGTGCTTTATTCTACTTTTGTCTGCCTTATTCTAGAGAAAACTGCTCGGCTGCATAGCACTACAAAAATTGTATGGGCGGAGAGCATATATTTATGTTACTCATTTCTAAACAATACACTAACAGAATGAGTCTACGAAAAATTAATGAAAAGGAATTAGGTGAAAGTAATTTTCATTCCCCCTGTCAATCTATTCGTATATCTAAATACATAAGTATAAATCTTTAGTTGTACTATACGCAGGTTTAATCAGTTTTAAAGACATACTTGCAACACACACCTACAATTTTTTTATGCCAGCGGAGATGGGTAAAGGAAGTATAAAAGTTCACCTGCCATACTTTCTGTAGATATGATCTATGGATAGAAGTAACCATCTGTTTAATAATTCCCCTTATTGTCATCTACTTAGATTCTGATATTTTAGTAAAACCAAAAATGGAATTGAATTACCAGTAGTTATAACTGCAAAAATTACATACCATAGGTTTTTTCTGTTCAAGAAGTTAGTTTACATTTATGTTTATTTTTAAATTCACCAAAACTGGAGATTTTATATTTATTCATGCAAGTTAACAGTGTAAAAAGCTTTTATGTTAACTGTATTACAGCTTCAACGGAAAAACCTAAAAGTTTGTTGCTATAATGACTGTTGCTAAGCAGAAAATATTTCAGCATTATGATAAATTGCAGTCTACAAAGTGATTTGAAAGATTTTCGGTTGATTTAAAACAAAGTTGTTTTTCATATACCTTTTTTTATTCCTTTCAGTTCCCAGTGGAACATAGGGCTTCAAACTGCAGCTTTGAAGTTTCGGTAGCCAGTGGTTTTATTTTTACGCGGTGGTACTACTAGTCTCACGCCCAACCTTCCCTCTCTGCGTGGCTTATTACCAACTGAGCGACATTTGGGAGCACATCGGTAGGGGATTGAAACCCGGATCACCTGAGCGGCTGGCGAGCATTCTACTTCTGCACTAATGACGCTACCTTCATATACCTTTTTGGTGAATATTATTATTTCCCAGCAGTTTTGTTGACAAATAACTAGGTCGAGTAAGAATATAAGTACATACATAGAATTCACTGCTACTGAAAATTCAGAATTCAAGCTTGAAACTATATATTCGATTGCAAATGTAAGACATTTCGTTGAAGCTGCAAAATACTTCTTCATCAATTTCGTGTATTTTTAGATTGAATGAATGGTCATCACTTGACCCAACCTCATTATTATTCAGCATTTAGGAGAATAATTTTCCGGTGCTCTTCTTTTTTTTCTAGATTCCAGCTGTCACTGTAGGAGAATAAGGCCAATCCAGTGTTTCATTAAACTGTTCCATCACACATGATTTTCATCAAAATGATATTCAAAAGCGTAGTGGAAAATATTAAGTATATTCAGCATAGACTGATTACAGTTACTGTAGTTTGCTTTATACAGGCAAATTATAGTTAGTCTTGGTAGCTTTTTTTACGACATCTTCCTATAGTGAATGAGATGTCATTTAAACAGGTTGCGGTGTTTTCTGAGTAAATGTTTATCAATAAATATTTTGCTTGTAAAAGTGTGAATTCTAAATTCTTATGATTTTAATTATGCAAAGTTGAAATGGTGCGTTGGTGGCACAGCGGTTAAGACTCTCGCCGACCATGCACATGGTCCGGGTTTCGATCTCTGGCCGACTCACTCCTTTGCCTGGCTAAGTTAGAAATTATTCTGGTAAAGAGGAAAGGTTGGGCATGAGGTCAGCAACCCCATCCTATAAAATTAAACACTGCTGCAGAAACTTCAAGCGACTAGCTTGAAGCCCTAAGTTCCACTGGGAACGTGAAGGAAAAAAAGTTGAAATGCTTCTCAAAACAGTTGTTACATAGATGACGATTGTTTTATCCCTTGTTAAAGCGACAGAGTTCAGTCAAAACTGACTGATCTTTCAGAAACAAGGAAAATATTGCAAAACCATATTTCATAATCATCAAATTTTTTTTCATTCAGCAGTAGGCATGATTAAAGCATTACTGTCTTTCATATAGTGATCTTAAATACACTTAGAGTAGCTGGAATATATTACTAGAAGTAAGAATGAGTGACTGCAAGTCTCTACGATTGCTATGCACTTTAGGTAAAAGTCACTTATGAATGACTTAGTGATATATTCTCTGCTGACATTAAAAAATTTCTATTTATTTAGAAACTTAAGGATTGTTAGAAATTTTGAAGTTCAAGGACACTTATTGTACTCTGAGTCATGAGTACCTTCTTAGTGGCACACAACTGTCTAGCTACTGAAAAGGCATTTAATTAATTCTCTTCTAATCCCCGTGTTCCAAATAGAGCATAGGACTTCTTTGTAGTTTCTGTAGAGGCAGTTCTGTTTCTACGACGAAATCATATCAAAACCATTCATCTTCTCCAGGTTTACTAATGTCAAAGCGTGATTTGGAGGTGAGTCGGCCGAATTTCCCGCTTGGTTGGTAAGCATGATACCATTGAACCACCGTGGCAGACATTTAATTATGACACTAGACACAAAAATTAGGGAATCTTCAAATATACAGAGGTTTATATGGTAAGTTAGTAAATTATTTCATACATTTATTCCCCTTTATGAATTTAAGCAAAGCAAAAGCAAGCGTTTGTGCAGAAAATTTGAGGCTGTCACTTATTTCGTCACTAGAGTCTCTTCAACTGCTTATAGCTTAAAAGTCGACTGTGTAAGTGTACATAGAATTTTACCATACTGGCAAGGCTCAACATGACAAAATTCTATACACACTTACACAGTCAACTTTTAGGTTGTAAGCAGATGAAGGGAATCCAATGACAAAATAAATGATGACCTCAAATTATTCTGCATAAACATTTGTTGTTTTTGCTTTGTTTAAGAATAAATTATTAATTTAATGTTGAACTACCAAGAACCAGTGATATTTTGTCGTACATTCCTTATACAAAAATGTAGTCATTTAAATGAATATTACAATAAGACCATGTGCGTCGGTGGCACAGCGGTTAGGACGCACGTGGTCCGGGGTTCGGTCCCAGGCAGGCGCAATCCTTTACCTCGCTAAGCAAGAATTAAAGCTGGTGAAGAGGAAAGGTTGGGCATGAGGCTAGCAATCCCATCCTATAAAAATAATAAGATCATAAAAGTGATTCTAGCTAAACTGTCATATTTTATTACCAAGTGTTGGTTTTCGAGGAATGGATCACTAGCTGACATCAACCAAGGAGTCACTGAAAAACCTGGGATTACAGTTGTTTCGCCTTACTTTGTTATCTAAAAATAATTTCCTCAGCTAAACTTTTTCATACAAAAGAGTATATGAAATCTGAACGCCGATCATTTCTTGCCTATTAGTAAGTGAAATCTGTTTTAAGAATTTCGTCACCATGCTGCTGCCAACTGAAATTGTAGCTGTCATATTCCTGCCCAAATCCCATTTATTTTGACAAGGAAAACCTTTGAAAGTTATAAATATAATAGCTGCACACTAATTTATTTAATTTTTTTTCTTCCTTCACGCTCCCCAGTGGGACATAGGGCTTCAAGATAGAGGCTTGAAGTTTCGGTAGCAGTGTTTATTTTACAGGATGGGGTTGCTAGCCTCATGCTCAACCTTTCCTCTTTAACAGCATTATTTCTGGCTTAGCGAGGTAAAGGAGTGCGTCGGCCGGGGATCGAACCCCGGACCATGTGCATAGTCGGCGAGCGTCCTAACCGCTATACCACCGACGCACACACAAATTCATATACAGTGAAATTATCTAGCGGTTGGTGGGGAGGGGGAAAGAGGCTTGGACAGTTCTCTTAAAGCTCCTTGTTTTTGTGGATAATTCAATTAAATCCGACAGTGCTGTTGACACGAATAGAAACCTTAGTTATATATTCACCGAAATTCACGGAAACAAATCCATCACTATTTCTTATCACTTCCCATATGATGAGACTTCTCAACATAAGCTTTCTCATACCAATTCCAATCCTGCTCTCTTTCCACATAGTCAGGTAGTTCTGCTAGACTTCACAAAGTACATGTAAATCTGTGTATTTGTCCAAGTTGTTTGATTTCTATTGATCACCATTCAGCTCCTATTGATTCTTAATCACCGCTTTATGGCCATTTTAACTAAGAGAGAAAGTGTGCAATATGCTATACTAAATACGAACAGTTTGTGAAAACAGATTTTACTTTTCCTACAACACAGTTCCTAGTGTTTCCCATAGGTTCGGAAAATATTATAAGCTAGAGACAAATAACAGTTCTGTATTACATATTGATAAACATAATCACAAGCATAAAAGTCTTAACTATTAATAGAACTTTGAAAACCACAAAATCTGCTGAAAAATAATAAAATTTTACACCTCAAATGATAACAGTATTCATTTTACTCACGTTTTAGGATTTTTCCGGCGTCTTTTAGTTGCATACATCGTTTTTATTACCCAGTCATCAACCATTGTTGAAATAAAGATTCTTCTTCTTAACGAAGAGTTTTCAGTAGCAGTAAACAAAGTACAACCTCAAAAAAAGACTGAAGTAAAGTGATTCGCTTAATTAGGTGATGATGACTTTTTATGAAAGAATCTATTTGCAATAATCCACTTGAGTTGTTTATTTTTATCACAGATCAGGAATAATGATGATAAATAAAATGATAAATGCGATATTATCTACAGGCTTTATTGATTTACTGTAATTTGTAAGTAGAACAAAAGGCAGCTTTTTAATATTCTGAAATTATCGCTCGAAGAACTCCTATTGGTCAGGAGAAATCGAAATCCGTTCAGCAAGCTGTTCGGCTGAAATCAAGTATCTCGATTTTGATTGGTTGAAATTTTGGAGGAAACATAATGTGGGATGAAAAGGAGTGGGAGATTAGAGGGGAGTAGAAGATAAGCAGTTTCATTTTCCAAAAGACAATCTATCCTGCCTACTTTTCTTTCTTAATGTTCACTGCGAAATTCTATCCCTTTATTTCCTTTTCTAAAGGGAGGAATGTTTCTATTATAAAATTAAATATCTATATCCAATGACTGGACTGAAGATTCTTGATTTTTCTACATAAAATTTGTATTCAGGTTAACTGCAATTTCTGCCACTTATCTGATTAATCACCAAGGTTATATTTGTATCAGGGTTCAACAGAGGTGTTCCCAACCAGAATAATCTGAGGGATTATTGTTTTACTAAAGACCTATGTTTAAACCCGTTTTTTGTTTATCAAAATATATTTTTGCTTTTTAGTGAGTTAATGCATCCCCTACTAGAACCTCTTTGGTTTTCAGCGGTTGATTAAACCACATCGTTTCCAGGCCAAAACAGACATGACGATTGTGGTTCACTCACCAATATATTTCTGAATTGAAAAAAGCTTTATCCAACTGGCTGATATAAATGAAATCAGTTTCGTTAGCAGTGGTATTTAGATTTACGGGATGAGGTTGCTAGCCTCATGCCCAACCTTCCCTTTTACCAGTCTTTTTATTGGTTTTGCAAGGTAAAGGAGTGCGTTGGTTGGAGATCGAACCCCGGGCCAGATGCGTGGTCGGCGATCATTCTACTGCTGTGCCACCGACGCACATATATATATATATATATTTATATTTATATAAACACAGAGGACTTATTTTGTTGCTTTTCGTTCGTTGGGTTCCCAGTGGAACATTGGGATTCACCAGCTAGTCTGTGTTTCATTGTGTTCTATGGATTCCCTTTTAACTGGTTCCACGATTGCCCATAAATTCTAATTTCCTCTTCATACAGTCCCCCCTCAATTCAGTCTCGGGCACCCGTCTTATCGTTTTTCAATCAACTTCCACTTGAGGGCCAGATACGCGACGTCAGTTAACAGTCTTCAAAGAACGGTTCCAAACCATCTCCTTTTTATTTTGCAAATTTGTTAGACGGTAGGTTTTTGATTGGTTCTTTGCCAAAGCTCCTTGGCCCCTATTCTTTTCAGCCGACCATCCGATCTTCAATATTACCGTACGAAATTAGGAGTTAATGAAAATATGCCTTCATCGACTCTCCAAGTCTCTGGATCATATAGACGCACTGTCTTGGCATCAGTGTTGAGCATTTATATCTTGTTCTTTTGCTGTGCACTGTTGATTTCTGCACTTATCTCATAATAATGAACACCAGGCTTTCTTTTCCCATCCAGGTTTTGAAATACTCATCCATGTCGCCTGCTTGTAGCTGGAACAATGCTACCTGGCATGTAAGTGAAAGAGACAACTTCTTTTGGATTTCGCCCGTTGGTGGGAGAAGTCCTGTCGCTACAGAAAATTTGATACTCAGGAATTCGACAAAACGCTTTAAAATAAATCGACAATCTAAGAAAAACACGATGGTTGGAGTGCTAGTTTAATAAAGAAGACAATTTACACTTGCTTTTAATTCATAAGAGCATCTATTTAAGTTTATTAGATGACAAAGCCAAGAGAATAATGGAAATGAGGATTCTTTCACTAAAAATAGGAAATTTACATTGAATTTAGGTCATACTAATCTCAGTCAGATATGACACTTAATTAACTACGTTAAGCTGATTGAAAATCCCCAGCTGGACAACCACCGAAACAACTGTTTTGCCTTAAGTTAGCAGTTTCTATCAGTGTGAACCCAGATATCAATAAAAAGTATAACTTATGCTCACCGGGTTACTAGGCGAAGTTGCCATCCAGTCACTGGATTGTAATTTAGTAAAGTATCACTGCAAATTTACTGCACACATGATGTAAAGACAGTCATTTTTCGGTGAACTTTCATGCTGTTGGCGTTATATCATCAACTAATGAAAGCTATAAATTACAGTCTTGAAACAATATAGTAGATTTATAGCTCAGGTGAATATTATTGTTATTTTGTGTTCTCCGTGATGGGAAGTTAAACTTTCCTCCTAAACAAATTCATATGCCTTTGTTCCCGCTTGCCATATATGTATGGCCTTCCAAAGACACACAAGAAAGAAGTTCCTCTGAGACCTGTACTTTCGATGATCAACTCTCCCCAACATAAGGTTGCCCGTTGGCTTTCGGAGAAGTTGGAACCCATTCGCCAAAGGCTAGTACCGCATACCATAAAAGACTCATTTCATTCTGCCGAAAGCGTGAATCACATGAACATTTCAAATAAGTTCATGGCTTCATTTGATGCAACCTCCTTGTTCACAATGATCCCAATCAATGAAACCATTGAGATCATTTGTCAACAGTCTGATCTTCTCCCACTACCAGAGCCGGAATTCAAACGCCTACTGCTGATGTGTACCATGGGTGTACAATTCCAGTTTGACAACATTCTTTACCGACAAATAGATGGTGTAGCTATGGGCAGTCCACTTAACCCTGTTTTAGCAGATATCTTTATGTCAAACCTTGAGAAAACAAAGTTGAAGCATGCAATCGATCAAACAACTTCCTATTGTCGATATGTTGATGACACATTTGTAGTATGCAACAACGAAAATCATGCCTCCTACCTATTCAGACCGTTCAACAACGCACATACAAATATTGTATTTACTATGGAACATGAAAATGATGGACAGTTCCATTTCCTTGATGTCGCCATAAAACGCCTAGAAGATGGTAGTCTCCAGAAGTCAATCTACCGAAAGCCCACATGGAATGGACAATACTTACATTTTAATAGCTTTTGTCCAAATAGCTATAAACGAGCACTAGTCAAGACTCTATGCTATAGAGTGAGGAGAATATGCTCTGCAGAGAAACTAGAGGAAGAATTTATGAATCTCGAAAAGGTGCTGAAAAACAACGGCTATCCTCAAAGATTCATTAACAAATATGGAAGATGTGAAGGCTCAAATACCAAACAAATCACAGTTGAAAAAAAGCCTGTGTTCATTCAACTAGATTTTAAAGGTGAAGACATCGCAGAAATGGTCAACAGAAGACTGAGGACGTCACTAGCCAGAGCCTATCCTGCAGCTAAGTTGGTTCCCGTCCATCGAACAACATGTTCTTTGGTGCAGTCAAAAGTCGATAGATACCCTTCTCATGTTAACTCCAACTGTGTAAACAAATTTACGTGTATCTGCGGGAGCAGTTTCTTTGGGAGAACAGAAAGAAGGGCACACCTCCAATTTTCTGAACAAGTGCCGAAAAGCCTACGTCTCAAGGGAACAAACTCTTATAGTAGCGCTATTACCAGACATCTCCTCAACACGGGTCATAAGGTGGAAATCGAGAAGTCCTTCAAAATTATCAATAGACAAAGGAGCTCCATTCTCCTCAAGTTTGCCGAAACAATTTCTATCAAACGCTTGAAACCAGATTTATGTGTTCAGAAAGAGGCAGTTATTAGTCTTTCCTTGCCTTGGTAACTGGATTTCTTTTTTCCTCTCATCTGATTGCGTAATCTTTGTCTTTAACCTCACCCTCCGTTTATAATCTCTAATTTTGCTTGTCTCTTGTTTCTATGATTTGAGTTCAACTCAGTACATTGTTACCTAACTTATTAGTCACTATTCATCTAACAGATATCTCATCTTCATTTTGTAACTCCTTTACCATTATATGTATACATTTATTTTGGTTTAACTTGAACTGCCTGTGCAAAACCTATATGAGTGCAATTTTCTGAGCACTGTTTACTAATTGTGGAACATTCTGTCAACTGACAACATGTAAAATTTGCAAGTATGTTGAAACGTTTCTGTACTGAAATCTCATAATTTATTTAGGCTGTAAGGAGATGATGAGAAGCCAACGAAATAAATGATGGTACCATATTATTCTGCACAAACCACTGTTGTTCTTGCTTTATTCAAATTCATCAAAGGGAACAACGCCATATGAATTTGTTTAGGAGGAAAGTTTAACTTCCCATCACGGAGAACACAAAATAACAATAATATTCACCTGAGCTATAAATCTACTATATTGTTTCAAGACTGTAATTTATAGCTTTCATTAGTTGATGATATAACGCCAACAGCATGAAAGTTCACCGAAAAATGACTGTCTTTACATCATGTGTGCAGTAAATTTGCAGTGATACTTTACTAAATTACAATCCAGTGACTGGATGGCAACTTCGCCTAGTAACCCGGTGAGCATAAGTTATACTTTTTATTGATATCTGGGTTCACACTGATAGAAACTGCTAACTTAAGGCAAAACAGTTGTTTCGGTGGTTGTCCAGCTGGGGATTTTCAATCAGCTTAACGTAGTTAATTAAGTGTCATATCTGACTGAGATTAGTATGACCTAAATTCAATGTAAATTTCCTATTTTTAGTGAAAGAATCCTCATTTCCATTATTCTCTTGGCTTTGTCATCTAATAAACTTAAATAGATGCTCTTATGAATTAAAAGCAAGTGTAAATTGTCTTCTTTATTAAACTAGCACTCCAACCATCGTGTTTTTCTTAGATTGTCGATTTATTTTAAAGCGTTTTGTCGAATTCCTGAGTATCAAATTTTCTGTAGCGACAGGACTTCTCCCACCAACGGGCGAAATCCAAAAGAAGTTGTCTCTTTCACTTACATGCCAGGTAGCATTGTTCCAGCTACAAGCAGGCGACATGGATGAGTATTTCAAAACCTGGATGGGAAAAGAAAGCCTGGTGTTCATTATTATGAGATAAGTGCAGAAATCAACAGTGCACAGCAAAAGAACAAGATATAAATGCTCAACACTGATGCCAAGACAGTGCGTCTATATGATCCAGAGACTTGGAGAGTCGATGAAGGCATATT